GCGAAGCGAAAATCGAAAATAGTCTGCATAGAGTGGAACAAAAGGGGAAGACTATCAAGAAATGGAAGAACTGCACAAGTATCTCTTGGTGAGAAACCAAATAGCATATACAATTTTAAAATTTATGATGTAGATCACATGTATTTAATGTTACAGCACTATTCTGATAAAGGAAAACCTTAACTTTCTTAGCCAATTCATCAACCACTATTAGCTCATTATCACTTGATAAACCTACAACTCAAGGAATTTGGACTATTTTGGACTATATTATATTTGCTTAGGGTTTTCTGGGCATTCTGACCAACTATAGTAGAGAAAACATTAGTTGTTTATACTGAACCAGGTACTATCTACTAATTCAAGTAAGCAATATATTAAACACCTGGACTGCACCTCTTCACGGTGAAATTATAACCCTGCTGAATTAGGAAACTTGAATATCATGCAACACAAATTACTTTATCTGAATCATGGATTAGACATAGCATGTTTATCCAAAAAATTTTAGAAAATTTTAGCTCCCCTGAAATTGAACACATGGGTTTAGTTATTAACCATCTTAAGATCATGAATTCCACTAAAAACATCACTTACAAAGAACCAAGCTTGGCTTTTTTTTCTTAAGAAAAAAAAAAATCAATCACCTAAAGGTATGATTGTGTAAAAAAAAAAAGAGAGAGAGAGAGAAGAGAGAGAGAGAAAACTCATGGATACCTTCTCAATGTTGGACTCCGTGGAGCGAACCAGCTGTACAATTAGGTTTCTATTAGGGGTCGCTAGCGCGTAGTTGAAGCTGGAATCATGCGGTCTATTTGATTCAATGAAGGGTTTTGATGCAGGTTTAGAGGACAAAACACTATCACCACTCACTGATGGTGGTCCGGACGACTCAGGAGATGACGATGAACTTACTGCAACAAAAGTACCAAAATGTGGTCGCCGGGGACCGGCTAACTTCCAGCGAAGTGGGAATGACACAGAGAGTGGAGAAGTGGGGATGGAAGCGAAGAGAGCCATGGCAGACAGAAGCAGAGTAACCCAGGATTTTTTATTTTATTTTTTATTTTTGGGTTGCTCTGGTGTTTTCTCCTCCTCTCATAAAAACTCATTTTTATCGTGCGTCGGATCGCAGTAGCTATCGGATAATAAAATTATTAAAAAATTAGTAAAAAATTAGTGACTTTAATAATCTTTTTCATAGTTACATAAAAAATTAAATAATTAATTGATAATAAAATATTAATAAATAATAAAAATTATTTTTAAAATTTTAAATTATATAATAAAAAAATTTATGTCTTCAATCATTGTAACCGTAGTTTGAATTTAAAATTTTTTTCGTAATAAAAATATCTGTCTTTGACCATTCAATCCTTCCAGAAAAGAAAAAGTAGTGAGCTTGATCTCAAAGCGAAAGAGAAAGAGAATGATGAGCGGAGAAGGGAAGGTTGTTTGCGTTACTGGAGCGTCGGGCTTCATAGCATCGTGGATTGTAAAGCTTCTCCTCCAACGTGGCTACATCGTCAAAGCCACTGTTCGTGACCCAGGTCAGTATTGCATTTTCCTTCAATTTTTTTGATCT